TAAGTTTGGTCTTTTTATGGTGTCACACAATTCCTGCATATTCCATTCCTGTGTTTTTTAAAATTTTTCATAATCTTTGCTTGAGTGGTCTAATTTACCCACTTTATTTTCCAGTCTTGATACTCTGTTTTCCATTTCATTCATCCTGTTGGTGAGGCTTTCTCCTGTCATTTCTCATTGGCTTACTGAGTGTTTCACTTCCTTCTTCATTTCAGCCTGAGCATTTTTCAATTTTTCTAACTTTTCTGAATTCATTCATAAGGTTATCCCTATCTTCCTTCAGTTCTTTGATTTCGTTTGTGTGTTCTTTAAATTCACTGAATTCTTTAATCATGTTTATAATTGTTCCTTTGAGTTCCATGTCCTGTATTATCTCCAGGGGGTTTTCATTGTACTCCTCTAGAGGACTATTGGTGTTTGGTGGGGATATGTTATTTTGGCTTTTCATGTTAGTTTTTCTCTGCAATTTTGATATATGATTTTGTTTTGCAGTTCCTGATTCTTGTGTGAGACTCAAGCCTTCAAGTTTAGGTCTGCTTCTTTTTGTAAACTTTATGTGCCCTTTTAGTTTACTTTTTGGGCATGAAAAGCTGGTTCTTCTAAGCTTCCGGTTCTCTTTTTTGATTTTATATTGGAGTGGCCAGATTGCTTTTGTCTTCAGGAGTTCCCACAGAGGCCCAAGTCAGATGAGGATCAGATGCTCTCAGGCTTTCTCCTAAGGTCTGGATCCCTCCATGAAAGATTTTGTCCTTAGGAATTTGGGGATTGTATTGGCCTGGGAGCTGGGCCCAGGAAAGATGCTGGTCTAGAGCAGCTGGTGGCTGTGCCACCCAGAGATGCAAAGGGAGATGGGGGCGGGAAGCAGCCCCAAGGGCTCCTGGGGACTGCCCTGAGGAGCTGGGTTGGTCTGGGTGCAAAGGATCAGGAAGAGGAAAGGTCATCCCCGGTGTGCAGGGAAGTAGAGGGAAGTGAGGACGGGGCCATGCCCAAAGTGCTCCTGAGGACCCTAGAAGGAACTGAATTCTTCTGGATGCAAAGGATCAGGCAGCAGTGGTGGTTCCCCAGTTGTCTGGGGCGCCAAGACAAGGAATGGGACAGGACCTAGACTAGGAGGAGAGAAGAAGGGCAGGGGAAATGGGAGGGTGAATGAGGCTGGGGGAGTCAAGGGCTCAGGGCACGATCCACTTATCCCGGGAGCTAGAGGCCTGCAGGTTAAAGAGAGGCTAGCGGTTGTCTTGAACTTCCTTTTCATCCGAGGCTTTCTGATAAATGTTTGGTCTATTTGGTCTAAGACTGTGAAGAATCATTTTGTTTGGGGAGAGCAAAGCATTTCATTTTATAAATAAATAAACCACCCCTTCTCTAAAGTTTTGCTTTATAGAAAGAGAATTTTAGAGTTACTGGTCTTTTTTAAAGAAATGCCTGGTTTGTTGCTCAGGCTGGTCTCGAACTTGGACTCCTCCCATTTCAGCTTCTTAGATGCTGGCTGGTTACAGGTGCTTGTTCCCTCCCCACTCCTTTTTGAGTGCTAATATTAATTTTATTCCTGAAGATTAATACCCATATTTCATTAAATCATATAATAGTGATTGTATGATAGTTGCTTTTAAGAAACATATTTAAGAACCCAATTTAGTATCTCAAAAAAGGTTTTTTAAAAACCCTAATTTGAGAACTCAAGGCCAGCCTGATTTATACAGTGAATTCCTGGCCAGGTAGGCCTACGTAGTGAGACCTCAACCCTGTCTCAAAAAACAAAACAAAATGAAAGAACAAAAGTCTAATAAGAAATTTTTCAATGTGTAATAATGCTGAACCTTTACTATACAGAATATTGATCTCATGGTCTTTGTTGATTGAAAACCAAGATGTTTAGTTAGAAAGTCAAAACTCATTTAACTTGCCTTCGTAGCACTGGCAGCATCATATTGAAGCTGTAGGATATTTTTCAGTACCTAGGTGGCTATGCCTCTGTGAACAGCTGATCCTGATTGTGAAGACCATGACTAAGTATAGCTAGCTAAGTGCAAACTAGAACTCAAAGCCAAAAGACAAGATACTTGAAGCTGATCACTGTTGCTAGTGCTTTTCTCCAAGAAGAACCCTGCATGCATTCACTTAGCGTCTATTGCCTTAGCTAGTACCTTTGACAAGATGAGCTGTGTGAATTGTCAGGTGGAGAAGAGATGCTGTTAGAAAACAGGTATGCTGACAGCTGTGAGAAATAACTGAATTGTTACTTAGTTAAAATTCACACTGTCTAGCAGCCTAGAGAGAGCTGACCATCTTCTAAACAGCAGTAGCTCCCAAGAGTGTGCTTACTTTTTAATGAACTGTAATAAAGTACTTCCTCAATTCTAGTGTATGTATTTATATGAATGTAAGAAGATATATGTGAGATGAATGTGTTTATAAACATCTTAAAGTCTCTGAAATAACATCTTAAAAATAGGATGCAAATTTAATGTTGTATTAATTTTTACCATGATGAGAAAACAGATCATTGGTATGTGTCATAGTGAGTGACCACTTATCACAGAGAACTTAGTGGTAGCAGATTGTTATGAGAGACTTTTAAAAGGAAGTTTTCTTATTCTGGGTCCCTTTAGAAAGAGAATGCTTTATGTTGTAGAAAAATTTTCATTGAAGTTGTTTTAACGGGGAAACATTTAAATTATAAAATGGATTTATGTGAAAATTCTGTGCTGTTATAAATCTGATAAACAAGTATTGCTATTTGTTTTGATTTCATTAACATGTTATAATAACATAAGTTTCCTAATTAATGCTGTTGACTTTGAATTTCATTCTTAAACAGAACGGATTTGTCTTGCAGGTGCCTAAGTCCATGCCTCAGCCTGTAGGCTCTTCTTCGGCCCTCCCAAAAGATCCAGTATTGAGGAAAGAAAAACTGCAGGATCTAATGATTCAGATTCAAGGAACCTGTAACTTTATGCAAGTATGAGCCATTTTATTTTTGTTGTTGTTGTTTGGTCTTTTTGAGACAGGGTCTCCCTATAGCCCCAAGCTGGCCCGGAACTCACTATGTAGATTAGGCTGGCCTCTAGCTCACAGAGATACACCTGCCTTTGCCTCCCGAGTGCTGGAATTACAGGTGTGTGCCACCACACCCGGCTTTGTTTTTTAATATTTTATTTTATTTTTTTTTGGTCTTTTTGAGACAGGATCTCTCTGTAGCCCCAGCTGTCCTGGAACTCACTATGTAGACCAGGCTGGCCTTGAACTCACAGAGATCCACCTGCCTCTGCCTCCCAAGTGCTGGGATTAAAGGCGTGTGCCACCACGCCTGGCTATTTATTATTTTTATTTTATGGGTATGAGTGTATTGCCTGCATGTATGTGAGTGCCCCCGTGTCGTGCAGTGCCGTAGAGATCAGAAGAGTGCTTTGGATTCCCCTGGAATTGGCGTTAAGGACGGATCTTAGCCACCATGTGGGTGCTGGGAATTGAACCCGAGTCCTCTGTAAGAGCAGTCAGTGCTCTTAACCGCTGAGCCATCTCTCCAGCCCCTATTTTGTTTTTATTTTAGAATATTTTTTATTCTTTGGCACTTTCACATATGTGTACAGTGTGTCTTAATCAGCTCCCTCCTCCACCTCCTGCCTGTAGCCCCCAATACTTGATAGCCCTCCCATCTTCATATCTTCCTCTTTTTTATTTTCAAAAGATTTTGTTTTTATTTTTGATTATGTGTGTATGTATGTGTCTGTGTGTGATTTTGTGCATGTGTGTACATTGCCAGCAGAGGCCAGAAGATATAAATCCCCTGGAGCCAAAGTTACAGGTGGTTGTGAGCTGATGGGTGCTGGGAACAAACTCTAGTCTTCTGCAAGAGCATAAGTGCTTTTAGATGATGAGCCATTCCCCCCAACCTCCCGCCCCCTTATAATAACCCACTGAGTCCATTTAGTGCTGCCCGGTGTGCTCGAGTGTGGAGCATGAGCAACCTACTGCTGCCGTGCCTGAAGAAAGATGGCCCCCCTGCCCTGGCAGCTGTCTGTTGCTAATAGCGCCTCAGCTAGGAGTAGAGCTTCACGAACCCCTCTCTTATCCATGCCGGAGTGTTGACTGGCTTGATCTTGTGCAGGTCACCCTAGCTGCTGTGAGTTCATGAGTGCAACAGCCATGTCATGTCTAGAAGACTGCATTTCACAACACTCCTTCAGGCTATGATTCTTGTATTCTTTCTGTTCTTTCTTCTGTGATGTTCCCCCAGCCTTAGAGGGGTTGATAGAAATGTCCCGTTTACGGCTGGGCACCCAGCAGTCATTTTTTCTTGGTGCTTTGATGAGTTATAAATCTCTGCATTGACTGCTGCTCACTGCAGAAAGAAGCTTCGCTGGCCAAGGTTGAGAGTGGTACCAACCCATGGGCATAACGTATATATAGAAGGCAGGCTAGAACATGTCCATTTAGCAGTAGAACAGTAGTAGATTCCCCCATGTGCTTTTCATCAGGTTTATAGTACAGCATGAATTCTCTTCTGTGGAACAGGTACCAAATCCAATCAGAAGGTTTTTGGCCACCTCCACAGCTGTCATGCTGTTATCACACCAGTGGGCATAGCTTACCTATGAGCCATGTGAAGAAAGAATTTTAGTGATAGTCATGTAAATAGTAGCTTGTATCTGAAACATTGTGGTGAAATTAAGAACCTAGGTCCTGCTGTGTAGAGTAGTGTCCTGGCTCTGCAGTTCCCTGGCTGTCAGGTCAGATTGTTTCACTCTGCTAGGGCTTCTTTGTTTGAAAAATACAGCAGTCCCCACTTCCTAAGTTTATTGTGAGTGAAAAAAAGAGTTAAAAATCAAAAGCTTCATGTGCTCAAGTGTTAGGACTGCTGTGTGTCATTGGCAGTGGCACTGTGAGATGTGAGAACCTGTTCCACACTTGTTCTTTCAGGTCCCACTGTGTAGATAATTATGACATGCATTGATAGTCTGACTGTAGGTGATTGTAAACTTACGTTAAATCAGTAGTTAAATGTTAAATTGTGTGCAAGACTGTGTTTAATTCAACTGTATGATACAGACTCTTAAAGAATTTCAGAAGAGCATGGTACTATTGAGGCCTCAAGTAAACAGAGTAAATATATGAACAAAGTAGATGTGCCTTGAGCTTTGAATTGAGGCTTGGGTTTAAACTCCAGCAATCCTTCCTGCCAGCTGTGTAGCACCTGTCAAGTTCTTTAATCTACAGGGCTTTAATTTGCAAAGTGAAGGGGTTGCTTACTTTTTCAGATAATTTGAAGATAAACAGAAGAACTATGATGTTCTCTGAAAGTTTCTAGCATAAGTAAGGACAATCTGGGGGATTTCCTTTCAAGAACCCAGACATACAGATATGAGAAGAGAATAGTTTCTCATAAAATGAGAATTGATTGGGATAATAAAAATTAAGGGTTAGGGTAGACTAGATCAAAACTAATGATTTATGCTGAAGACTTAGATCAGGAATGTATATCCAAGTAGATATTAGAATCTTGTTGTGGTTTTAATTCTTGACATAGCCTTGAGTTTTGACAGTAACTTTAGTGTTTATTTTTGACACTTAATTTCTTCTGTATGAGTGATTTTCTTAATATCATAAGGGAGTTATAGCTAGATGCCTGCAGCTTTAACTAGCACCTTTAATCATGCTTGTGGTCAATACGGTGAGCAACTTAAAAAATTTTTTTGTTTTGTTTTGGTTTTTGAGACAGGGTCTTCCTGTAGCCCCAGCTGGCCTGAAACTGGCTGTATAGACCAAGTTTGCCTCAATCTGACCGAGATGTGCCTGCCTCTGCCTTCAGAGTGCTGGGATTACAGGTGTGCACTACCATGCCTGGCATCGAAGTAAAAACTTAACCACTTTAAATGAATCATCTGCGTTCCTTCTCACTATTTAAAATCTCATCTTTAGGAATCTGTTCTGGATTTTGACAGACCTCCAAGTGCAATTCCATCATCACAGCCGCCTTCACCTTCTCCAGGTAACTTAGTGAGGGGCATAATCATTATAAAGACTGAGAGGAGACAGCTTTAGAGCTAACGGTTGTTTCTTTTACAATCATTTACTCTAGATAGCTTAAGCATTTCTCTGTTAATTTATTCTAATTGTATCCATCAGTCACTAGAGTTACCTATATATAAATTGTCATTAGGACATAAGTAACTTTCAGTAACATGTTTAGAGACAGTCCTCAGATGGCTAGGTAGAACTGCCCACTAGCTGCATTGGCAATTTTCCATGTTTTTCCTGAAGTGATTTCTGACTAGGATCTGCTTGACCTTTGGGCTCTAAATCTAGTGTGGAGGCTTTTAGGTCCTAACTGAGGAGATCACCTCAATCATGTTTAAAATAGTGATTACCATGGTAACTAATAGTGCATGAGTCTGGAGTGATACCTCAGTACTTAGGCCTCTGACTCCATGGGAATTTCTCTCAGGCAAGGAGTGACATGATCAAAGCCTTCCATGAACTTCCCAACTGCTGGGATTCTGATGGCCCCAGGGTTCCTGTTTACTTGATTTTCCTTTTCTCAGATTCCACCATGCCAGCTGTTGTGTGTGTGTGTGTGTGTGTGTGTGTGTGTGTGTGTGTTTAGAGAGAGAGTGTCTAAACAGAGGACTGGCTGTGAAGAGTCCATGTATCAGTTAGTGTGACTTGTGGCTCAGACTTCATCTGCAGATTATTATTCCCAGTGATTTTTTTTCCCCCCTAATTTTTGAAAGGTGTAGTTCTTTTGGAAGCCTTGAAATGCTGCTTTTCCCCTTAACCTTAAAATATCACCATGCACTACAGGTGGAATCAGTGTTTCTGCCTCTTCTCTAGGAATCTGACATGTCACTATTGATAAAGTACTAACCTTTCTCCCTCTCACTTGTTTGGTTTCTTTCATTCTCTACAGTATCTACAGAACAGAATTTGTCCAGTCATAGTGATTTTCCTCAGGAGCCAATGCAGGTACCTTATGGACTAATCTTCCTTGTGCCCTGCTTTGCTGTTAGGGAAGGATGTCTTGCTTTAGCAAGAATGATCAGACTGTCCTGTTTACTTACCAGTCCTTAAAATTGCTTTTAGCTGTTCTATTGAAAGTGACCATTTAGAAGAGTGATTGCAACGTCTAACCATACTTGGCTCCATAAACTCTTAAACTTGGCTCCGTAAACTCCCCTACCCCACACCTACCTGAAGCATGAATGCACTGTGAATATTCCTTTAGAAGGTCACAGAAATAAAACCACCACTTTGATGTTTGGTTTCCACTCACTGGTTCGTGGTTCACCTGTGACATTACTGGAACTTCTCAGAAACACACAGAAGCATTAGGATACAGGATTGGATGCTCAGGCACTTAGACATCACTACTGCTAATAGGTTTTTTTGGGGGGAGGGGGTGTCTATTAACATTCTAATTTCCTGTTGTGTCATAGATTTCCTTCCAAGCTGCTCTTAGTGTTTTCTGTTACAGTTTTCACAGCCTTAGTTCCTCCTGTGCTGTCTCCCAGTTTTTATTTTATACATGTTCTCAAGTTTGATTTTTCCCTAGAACTTTGGTGCCTGCTTTTATAAGACAGAAAAAGTATTCAGACAGAAGCCTGGTTAGGCTGTGGCTGGTAGACCTGGACCCAGTTTGTTATCATGTTCTCGGCTTACATTCAGTAACTTGCTATGTGGCTTCAGCCACATTGTGGATCTGACACCAGACTTCCATTTCTACTGGTCAAGCCCAGTATTACTGAAGGACACTTAAGATATATTATTCACATAACCAGAGTTGGAATGAGTATCCCTTGCTCATCTTGGCAAAATCATTTGGTGTCATTTTATATTACAAACTTTGAGTAAATCCTTGTGCCAGACATGAATGGAATGAATTTTGGGGCAGTTTAACTATTGGGTTAGATTTTGAGGTGAACTAATATAGGATAATTCATTATAGAATGTAAGAAAACAGATGATTATTAGTTTTTATGGTGCTAACTTGGTCTAAATTGAGTTACATGCTTCTTCACTTTATGATGAGGGAGAAATGATTGTTATTAAGTGACCTACAGTGGTCTGCCTTATAATCCAGATTTGGTTTTGCATCTTTTTATTTTTGGGTCTCCCTATAGCTCTAGCTGGCCTGGAACTTGTGGACCAGGCTGACCTCAATCTCGTAGAGATCCACCTGCCTCTGCCTCCCACATGCTGAGAGTAAAGGCGTGGGCCAACACACCCAGCTGTGTTTTGAGTCTTTTTAATTTGGCTTTATAGATAAGGATTACTTAGATCAGTCATTTTTCTTAGGCAGTTGACTTAAAAATCTACTAATGTCTTTCAATATAGAATTAACATTAAGGAAGTAACTAACCCATTGTTTTTCTTAAACTCAATCCCAGTGTATAAATTTGCAGCAATATTAGTTGGATTTTTAGTTGGGACATAGCAGTTCAGGGCTTGGAGAGAGCCAGGTGCTAGTAGGAAGAGGAGGCCCTTGTATGACACTCACTCTTGTCAGCACGCTACCAAAGCAAATGCTAGTGTGCATCCTCAGCAGCTGAGATTTGGAATTGTAAGCAAACGTTGCTCTCTGCATTCTCGTGTTCTCATGTCACCCTAAAGAACTTGCTGACTTGCCAGCTTGGGGCTCAGAGGAAGTTATCTGCCTGACATATGGCAAGTATGGCTGATGTTGCGTTTCTCCCCACAGGCAGCAATTCCCCAGAGCAAGCCACCGTCTACTCTTGCTTCTCCAAACCCTCCCCCATCAAAGGGCTTCCAGTTACCTCCTGCAAGTGGGAGCTCAGTAGCCGTTAGTGCAGCGCCCTTTCAAGTCATGCAGACAGTGAGTATGGAAGGGAAGTCAGAACTGTTGGGTAGCCTAGGTTTCTCTCATGCCTGCTGCTATTACTGGGTGAAAAGTTTGCCTTCATGTTGTGTGTACTTGGGCTGCTGGTATTTATATTTGTCCATTGGAAATGCTGTTTGTGACAAAGTGTTAAATCTAATCTTCAGAATTTTTGATGAGGAGTTTTTGGTTTTTTTTTTGAGGCAGGGTCTCCTTGTAGCCCCAGATGGCCTGGAACCTCTCTTTGGAGACTGGACTGGTCTCACTGTCACAGAGATCCACCTGCCCTTGCCTCCACTACACCCAGCTCCAATGGGTATTTTTATCAGAGCCCTTGTTCTACTCAAAAGTAGTAGGCAAAGCTAAGGACCCACGTTAAAGTGTATGTGGTTCAGTCCCCAGTGCTCCTTACCCCCAAAGGAGTGTGTAAGTGATGAGCAATTCTTTGGTAATAGCTTAATATTAATCACTACTAGTAGGTATTACTGAGAGTCCTAGCTTTAGTGGTGAAATAACAGGTTGCATCTTTCGGTGCTGTCAGTGTTGAAGTCTTCATTAGATTTCATCCAGATCTCGTACTGGTTCTTAGAGGTTTGTTCAGATTTGTCTGTGTTTTGAATGTATTTTCCTCTACAAATTGTAGAGAAGAAAAAGAAAAAAAAAACTATAGGGGCTGGGAAGGTGTCTCAGGTGAAGAACACTGGCTGCTCTTGCAGAGGACCCTGATTTGGTCACAGTACTCACATGGCAGTTCATAACCATCACAACTTCAGTTCCAGTGGATCCAGTGCCTTCTTCTGGCCTTCCCGGGAACCAGGCACTCATGAAATACACATACATACATGTAGGTGAACACATACATGTAAAAATAAATCTTTATAAAAAAGATACATGGGCTGGAGAGATGGCTCAGCGGTTAAGAACACTGGCTGTTCTTGGAGAAGACCCAGGTTCAAATACCAGCATCCACATGGCAGCTAACAACTGTCCATAACTCCAGTTCCAGGGAATCTGACACTCTCTTCTGACTTCTGCGGGCATTGCATGACATGGGTATACCTACATACATGCAGGCAATACATGCATACACATAAAAATAATATTAAAAAAAAAGATCCATTGCAACTAGAATTCTCTGTTCTTTAGGGGTAAGAATTTGTGAGGTAGTAAGTGCCTTTCCTGATGTGCTTTGTGCTCACACCTGATCCTCGGGATGGTGGTAGAGAGTGAGTGTTGGAGTATAGAGCAGGCCCAGTGCAGGGCTGAGCTGCTGAACAGGTACCAGGAATTTAGAGACTTTCCTGCTCTTACAGTTGGAGGGTCTTATAGATCTTGATTTCTTTCTGTCCCTGGCAGCTTGTCCTCACAATATTGACACTTTGGATTTATTTATTTGGTCTTTTTGAGGCAGGGTCTCCCTGTAGCCCCAGCTTGGCCTGGAACTTACTATGTAGACCAGGCTGGCTTCTAACTCACAGAGATCTACCTGCCTCTGCCTCCCAAGTACTGGGATTAAAGGCATGTGCCCACAAGTCCAGTGGATTTATTTATTTAATTAATTAAATTTTATTTATATAATTTTTAAATTTTTTTATTTCATTTAAAAAATTTTTTAATAACTACATGATTAGAAGAAACATTTCATTATAGATTTAACATATTCAGTAACACACTCCAGAGCAAGAGTACATCTCTTTCACAGGTTGGTGAAAGTTTCTAGGTTCACAGTTGAGTTAATACAGTTATACAATATTGAACTCAGTATAAGCCCTGTAAGATATAAAATTGAATGAGTTTTTTAACCTTTAAAAAAGATCTCCATTTCATTTTAGAATATATTGTTCCTTACAGAAAGACTCATTGTTTTTGCTACTAACACTGAGATGTTGGCACATGCATCTCTAATCTGTATGTATCTGATATTACTAGTCATAATTGGTTGCACTTGGATCCTTGGTGCCTGTTAATACATGTATTGCCTGCATGTAGGTATGTGCATTTGTGTTGCACAATGCCTGTGGAAGTCAGTAGAGGCTGTCAGATCCCCTGGGAGTAGAGTTATGGACAGTTGTTAGCTGCCATGTGGGTTCTAGGATTCAAACCCAGGTCTTCTGCAAGAACAACCAGTGTTTTAACCGCTGAGCCATCTCTCCAGCCCCTTACTGATTTTATTTTGCCATTAAAAGCAGATAGCACTTCACAGAATGAAATGGAGCCCTTCACTGGACAGTCAAGTCTACCTTTGAAGTCTTGTCTAACCTGCTGGACCAGTCCCCTAGGCTTGTCTTGTGCGGTCCTGTCACAGTGCCTTTTTGTGGAATCCTCTGTCTGCCAGTTCAAACAGGTTCTCATTCATTTTATTAAGCAGGTAGCTAGGGGCTGGAGAGATGGCTCAACAGAGGACCTGGTGTGGTTCCCAGCCCCCATACGGTGGCTAACAACTCTATAGCTCCAGTTCCAGGGAATCTGATGCCCTCGTCTGGTCCTTGGACACTGCATGCATATAGTCCATTTACATACATGCAGACAAAATACTTATGTACATAAAAATAGAATACTAACGAGGGGGGATTTAAAAAGTCTTTAAAAAAGGCTGGAGAAACAGCAGTTAAGAGCATGTACTGCTTTTGCCGAAGACTGAAGTTTGGTTCCCAGCATGCAGGTCAGGCAGCCCACAACCACTTGTAACTCCAGCTCCAGGAAGATCTGACCTTGGAAGGCACCTGTACTCATCATGTGCATATAACCACACACAGATGTGTATAATAAAAATACTAATAAAAAACACCAAATAGAAATCTTGAAGCTGGGCATGGTGGTGCCATACCTTTAGTCCCACCTAAAACCCATGTCTAAAAACCCAGGTATAGCAATGAAAAAAAACCCCCAAATCAAAAGTATTTATGGTCAAGAAGTTGGTGTTTTACTGTGGAAGCGGGAGGGCTAGAGAGGTAGGAGATGGATATGCATGTCAGGTACGTTAGCTGTACAGAGAAACTGGCAGCGGGGGGAAGTGGAAGTGTTAGCTTATGACTTGTGGTCAGGGTCTGGAAGGCGATTTCAGACTGCTGCAGGATGAACTTAACAGATGGTGTGCTCCTTCTTTGTTTTCCTTCTTTCTGTGCTAGAGATAGAATCCAAGACCTTGCATACAATAGGCAAGAGTGCTGCCTTTGAGTTCTTTTTCTGTTTTTGGTTTGGTTTTATTTTTTGAGTTAGGGTCTTTCTATAGTCCCAGTTGGCCTAGAACCCTTATGTAGAGCAGGCTGGCATTGAACTCACAGAGGTCTGCCTGCCTCTGCAGCTTCCTGAGTGCTGGGACTAAAGGTGTGTATTACCATACCTGGCCTTTTTTAGTCTTCACAAAATTTACTCCTGTATGCATTTTAATCATATCTTTACACCACTATCTCCCTCCAGCTCCCCTTAATCCCTTCATTCCATCTCCCTCCAAACTTCATGTCCTCTTTTTTTTTTTTTTTTCAAATCTTATTATTGCCGGGTATGGTGGCACATGCCTTTAGTCCCAGCACTCAAGAGGCAGAGGCAGGTAGATCTCTGTGAGTTCGAGGCCAGCCTGGTCTCCATAGTACATCCAGGCCAGCTGGGGCTACAGGGAGACCCTGTCTCAAAAAGACCAAAAAAAAAAAAAACTTATTATTAACTCTGAGTCTAATTAGTGCTGTCCATATATGCCTGGGTGTGAGACCATCCACTGGAGTGAGGGCAACTTACCAGTGGCCACATCTCCAAAGGAGAGTGACCTTCCTTCAGCATCCATATAGCTCCTCCTCCATCTTACTGGAATTTTGACTGGCTTAATTTTGTACAAGTCTTGTGTAGATAACCACAACTATTGTGAGCTGATGTCTGCATGTCACAGCTCTTGTCCCATCTACCAGCTTTTACATTCTTTCTGCTGCTTCTGTGTGTTTCTAATCCTTGGATGGGAGGAGGTTGATACGGATGATTTATCCTAGCTGAGTACTCAGAAGTTACTTACACTCAGCATCTTGACCAGTTGTAAGTCTTCATTAATTATTACTACAAAAAGAAACTTCTCTGACCAAAGTTGAGAACAACATAAATATTTGGGTTTATACATAAATATTTGTCTTTTGGGTATAAACATAAATATTTAGAAAGCTATTTGACAGCATGAACATTTAGCCAAACACCCGTAGTAGGTTCCCCTCTAGGGCCTATGAACTCCCCAGTCATGGACTTTTGAGCAGGTTTACAGTACCATGCATAAAATCTCTTCTGTGGAACAGGTCTTCTAGCTAAGTAGAAAGCAGTTGATTACCCTAATAACCATCATGCCACTATTGCACCAATGAGTACATCTTGCCAGGCAGAGTCTAACATGGCGGACTCCAGCATGAGCACAGTGATGTCTTTTCTCCCCCAGTAGCCTGCATGGTACCTTCTGTCACTATGTGAGCAGGGAATGAGTTTCCTGGTTGGTTGAGGTTGATTTCTCTATGTCTTGCATCTAAAGTGAGTATATTACCTTCACAAATAAGGTCTTACCATCTAGTTATGGTGGGCAACCAAGAGCAGTGGCAGTAACCTGTTTGGGTTTGGTTCCTCTGGGACCTCCCTGACCAATAACTCATAGGGAGGTATCTTGTGCCCATCACTGAGATTTTCATTTATTAACCCATGTCTTTTGGGAGTGGCATTGTCCATCCATGGACAATTCTATGTGTATGAGTGTTTTGTCTGCATATATATAAGTGTACCTGTGTTGTGCAGTGCCCAAGGGGGCCAGAAGAGGGTGTGGGATCCCTTGGAACTGGAGTTAAGGACAGTTGTTAGCCACCATATGGGTGCTAGAAACCAAGAGCAGCCAGTGCTTTATATATATAAAATGTATTTTTAATTAGCCTCCAAACTACTGGGTTTCCATAAAGCTTCTTCCTATGTCCTTAGTTTTGGCTGGCCTAACCCTCCCCTCCTAGTCCCTTATCCTCATATAACCCTTCAATCCTGAGAACCCCCCTTCAACCCTGAGACCCCCCTTCAATCCTGAGAACCCCCCTTCCCCTTTGGTGTCACCTGTGCTCTATCTCCTCTAATTTTTTTTTCTTGAACTAGGTGTAATGGTGCATCCTTTAATCCTAACACTGGTTAGGCAGAGGCAGGCATTGAATCTATGTGAGTTTGAGGCCAGCCTGGGCTATGTAGTGATTTCTAGGCCAACCCTGGCTACATAGTGAGGACTATGTAGTGAGACATAGCCCTGTCTTAAAAAAATAAAAAAAAAAAATTATTATTTTTCATTTATTTTTTTTTAGTTGAACCTTCTTCATGCTTGATTTATTGATCTTCTGTGGTCCCTTGAGTGTGTTTTTCCTTCTCTTCAGTCCTAAACATTCCTTGCAGTAGCCTCTGTAGAGCTGGTTTGTGGACATAGACTTTAAAAAAAAAAAAAATTTATTTGTATAATTTGTTTTTATTTTATGTGTATGAGTGTTATGCCTGCATGCATGTAAGTGCATGCATGTTGTACAGTGTCCCAAAAAATGACAGTAGAGGGTGTCAGTCCCATGCAACTGGAGTTTTATGGATGTTTGTTAGCTGCCATGTGGGTGCTGGGAATCGAATCCAGGTCTTCTGCAAGAACAGCCAGTGCCCTTAACTGCTGAGCTGTCTCTCCAGCCCATAAATTCTTTTAATCTGTTTTATCATGGAAATTTTATCTCTCTCTCAATGCTAACGGACAACTCTGCTGGGTAAAGACTGCGTTGGAGGTTGTAGTCTTCCTGAACTTGAATCCATCTTTCCAGTCACTTCTGGCTTTAAAATTTTTTATTGAATGATCTGATTATTCTGATAGTCTTGCCTTTATAAGTAGCATGACCTATCTTGCAACTTTCATAGCCTTCTGTGTTTTTAGTGTTTTAATTATAATATATCACAGGGAGTATCTTTTCTGGTCCTGTCTATTTGGCATTCTGTAGGTCTTTTGTACCTAGATGGGCATCTATTTCTCTAGGTTAGGGAGGTTCTTCTATGATTTTACTGAAAATAATCTCTCTGCCTTCTATGCCTGTAATCTGAGGTTAGGTCTTTTTACTGTGTCTCAAAGCTCTCCCGTGCTTCGTTTACATATTTTAAAAGTTATCAGTGACCATCATTTAGTGATTCGGTTTCTCTACTTCGTCTTTGGCCATCACTGTTGTTTCACGCTTGATCCAGTCTATTGGGAATGCCAGTGGAAACCATCGAGGTTTCATTTGGGTTGAGATTTTCTCATTATTGGATTCTGTTTTTGTGTCTTGGAGTGACTTCCTTTTCATGCTGTTCTGTTTTTGTTCTCTTGAGTATATTCCTACCTTCTTTGAGTTGTTTGAATGTAGTCCTAATCATTCTTTTGAACTCTTTGTTTGGAAGTTCTTCCAGATTATTCTCATTGGGAATAGTAGAAGAACTGACTTTTACTGTGGTGTCAGTTTTTATCAGTCATCAATCTTTTCTACAGCAGTAAAATATATAAAATTTACTGTTGTCACCATTTTAAAGTATATAATTCAGTGATACTAAGTATATTCACAATGTCTGCACCCATAACTATTTCAGATATTAGTAGTCATGTACTGCTTTGTTTTTGTCAACTTGACAGAACCTAGTCACCTGGGAAGAGGGAGCCTCACTTCAGGAATTTCCTAGATCAGAACCTGGGGACATGTCTGTGAGGGCATTGTCTTGATTCCTAATTGATGTAGGAGCACTGTGGGCCTGGCTATAGGAAAGCTAGCTGAGCAAGAGCCTGGGAGAGAGTCTGAGAGCATGCCACCAAGCAGCATTCCTCGATGGTTTCTGTTCTTCTTCCTTGGCTGGGAGCTCCCTGGATAGAGATGGTGCTAGGTGGAATAGAGCAATCCTGTGTCACTGTTCCTGCTTCAGCTCCTGCCCTGCCTGTCGTAAATGATAGACTATGACCTAGAAGTGTAAGCCAGATAAATCCTTTCCTCCCCAAGTTGCTTTTGGTTAGTGTTTCAACTCCCCGTTCCCCTCCCCGCCCTGTCTGTACCCTCTGTTCTTTTTCTGTCTCTATGAAGTTATCTATTCTAGATACCTCACAGAAGTGAAATCATCCAATTTCTTTTTAAAAATTGTATTATTAGTGTGTATGTATGTGGGGGATGACACTACGTGACAATAGTGCATGTGTGGAGATCAGATGACTTTGGAGTCAGTTGTCTCCTTCCACCCTTTTGTGGATTATGGGACTAGAACTCAGGTTGCCAGTCTTGCTTAGCAAGCACTTTTACCCAGACTGAGCCATCTTGTCTGCCCCAATTCTTTTGTAACTGGCTTGTTTTGCTTGGCATAATGTTTTCATTCCTTTAATGGCTGAATAGTATTTCATTTTAAGCAACATGTTTCACTGAACTTGGGGTTTGGCTCTTAGGTATAATGCTGCTATGAGTATCAACAGACATCTATTCACGTCCTGGCTTCTACTTATTTTTGGTGCACACTTAGAAACCAAAGTGGTAGATTTATACTTAACATTAAAAAAATTAGTTATTAAAAATTATTTTGATTTATTTTTATGTGTATGAGTGTTTTGCCTGCATGTATGTTAAGTGCAGCTGTACGTGCAGTGCCTTCAGAAGAGGGCACTGGAACTGGAGTTGTGGGCAGTTAGCTGCCGTTTGGTGCTGGGAATGGAATGCAGGTCCTCTGCAAGAGTAGCCAGTGCTATATTAGTCACTGAGCTGTCTCTCTAGCCCCTAGACTTAACTTTTTAAGGGTCCATCATCTAACCCTTTGCTCATCTGATAGCTGTCTTAGAATCTGGTGGAATTGTGCAGATGTTAATGGAGGCATTTCCTCTGAACCTCCCTGTGGCTCAAGGCACTCTTTGTTTTAAGGTATTCAATGTTAACGCACCTCTGCCTCCACTGAAAGAACAAGAAGTAAAAGAATCCCCTTTCTCACCTGGCTGCAATCAAAGTTTTACTTCATCAAGTACGCAGACACCACCCCAAAGCCAACCCCCAGCTATACATGTAGAACAGATGGTCCTGCCTCAAGAGACTGGTAAGATCTCTGTGTACATTGTGTATAAGTACTACATGTTAACTGATAGCGCTGCTGGAGCATCCTCTGTGTACACTCTGAAGACAGGACAGCAGCTAGGTGACTCTGTACTGCCCCTGTAGATGTCTCGTGGCAAGGAAGCATTCTCTTCATAGGTTCTTCCAGTGAGAAGCACCTAATTGTGTTTCCTGTTAGTCAAGTTTACCACTAATTTTAACTGTTTTGAGGGATTGCTTTTTAAAATCTATTGCTTTGATTACTTACAGTGACTGAGGTGGATGGGGCCCTGTAGCTGCTCTGGTGAGATTTTGAAGCTATTGTTACCCTCTGAGTGCAGACAGAAAAAAGCTCATGTGAAGCGGTGATGTAGTGTGCTTATTGTGCCGTTGCTCAGAGGATGGGGCTGTTCTGATCTTTCAAGCTGCTTTGAATTATGAAAGCACGGGCAACCATGTACTTAATCCTATGCTGAAGTGCTGGTGGGTTTATAGTGTTGGTATTAGAGCCCATTCTGAGCTGAGTCTGGAAGCTTTCTACTGTAGTAATGAAGAGTGGTAGTGTAAGCCCTAGATCTTGGCATGGAGGCCCTCACTCTGTTCTCACCACAGTTCTGACATGCAGGGCACATTGCAGAAAAGATACATTGGCCATAGGCCTTCTCACATTGCATTCTAACAAAATTAGAGCTCCTGGGCTGGGACTCAGCTGTAGAGAGCTTGCCTAACATGTATGAAGCCCTAGGGTTTCATCCTCAGCAGTGGCATAAACTGGATGTGGTGTTGCCTCATTATAATCCCAGCACTTGGGAGGTGGAAGTAGGAGTTTTAGAAGAAGTTCATGAACATCCTTTGCTACATAACAATCTCAAGGCTAGCCTATCCTACATGACACCTTGTCTCCCCTCAAAATGATTAGGAAATGTTTTACCTCCTCATATGTAATATTTAGCTTAAATTAAAAAAAAATTTTTGGTAATACATTTAACATGAAAATGACCATTTTAACCATTTTTATGCAATGTTCTGTGTCATTACATCCAGTTTGTCGTGTAGTCATCACTACCCTATCCACAGCAGGCTGTAATCTATGCATTTATCACTAACTTTTTCCCTCTGGTCCCTGGAAATCACCATTCTACTTTATGATGCTGAATTTAGCTACCCTGAATGCCTCATGTAAGTGGCATCATATACTTGTTCTTTGATTTAATATTACATCTCCAAGACGCAATTCCTGCTGTGGCATGTGCCAGATTTCCTTCCTCTATAAAGCTGAGTAATAAATCTGTTTCTCGTTTATGTACATTTATTGTAAATCTGTTTTGTTCTTGGTTTTTGTTTTGTTTTGTTTTGTTTTGTTTTTGTCTTTTTGAGACAGGGTCTTCCTGTAGCCTCAGCTGGCCTGGAGCTCACTAAGTAGACCAGGCTGGCCTTGAACTCACAGAGATCTACCAGCCTCTGCCTCCCAAGCACTGGGACAAAAAGTGTGCGCAAAATGCCCAGCTGTTTGTTTTTTGAGATGAGTCTTACTATGTAGCACTCACTGGCTGGCCTGGAACTCTCTATGTAGACCAGGTGGGCCTCAAATGCATAGAGATCTGCCTGCCTCTGCCTTCCTAGTGCTGGGATGAAAGGCATGTGCTACCACACGTGGCTTATAAATCTGTTGTATTTATTTTAATTATTTTTATTTTATGTAATGCCCACAGAGGCAAGAAGAGGGTGTCTGATCCCCTGGAACAGGAGTTTCAGATGGCTGCCATGTGGGTGCTGGAAACCAAACTCTGGTCCTCTGGAAGAGCAGCCAGTGCTCTTAACTGCTGAGCCATCTTTCTAGCCCTATAAACCTGTTTTTTAAAGGGAGAAAATATGTTAACAGTTTTGATACCATACTGACTTTCAAATAGAAAGAATATTGGACCTTTATTACTATTTAACTCCTGTACTCTAAATTGTTTCTTTAAGTCTCAGATTACCATCCTGATGGAACTGTTCAAATAAGCAATGGCAGTCTTGCCTTTTACCCAGCACACAGGAATATGTTTCCCAGACCTGCTCAGCCATTTGTCTGTAGCCGGGGGTCTGTTAGAGGATGTCCACGCGGAGGGAGGTTACTGACAAATCCCTTTAGGTCCCCTGGTGGCTACAAAGGTATGCTCTGAATCTACTTTAGTATACTTAATTATTTTATCTATATATTTACTTGGCTTAAATCTGACTCAAATAATTTTTACCTTACTTTGTACACTTTGGTATTGCCATTTATAATTATCTATTAGTAGATAGACTACTTTAAAAAATATTTATTATTTTATATGTATGAGTATAATGCCTGCATGTAGGTAGGTGCACCCGTGTCGGGCAGTGCACTCGGAGGTCAGAAGAGGTTGTTGAATCTCCGATTTCCTGGAACTGGAGTTGCAGATGGTGGTTAACCACCATGTGGGTGCTGGGAATCGAACCCAGGTCCTATGCAAGAGCAGTCAGTGCTCTTAACTGCTGAGCCATCTCTCCAGTCCTGATAGCAAGAGTACTTTTACGATGCCTATCCTGTTACTTGCTGTGTGCAAAGCAAATGAATCTGTGACTAAACTGAAGAAAGGTTAGTTGACTTGGTTCTCAAGGGAAGGATTTGGGGTTCATTTTTGAATGATTTCTTTTTTTTTCTTTGGATTGATTTAACTCTTAAAAATGTGTTACAATTGTGCAAAGCTCATTTTCTAGCTACTCTCAAACTATTGCAGAGAAGAACATTGAGTCAACAGTAGTGGTATTCTTAGATTTTAGTTATGCTTCCAGGTGTTGTGGTAGTGCCTTGATACTAGCAAAAGGGCTTGAGGCTGAGGTGTTTTTAGTGTCACTTTTGTGTGTATCTGATTTTTTTTTTTTTTTGTATGTTTCATACAACAGTTCTTAATCAAATGTAGCGTTTAGTAGCTTTTCCCATCGTTTTATGCAGGTTGTTTGGTTTACTCATTAGGTTTTGATAGCTACAGAGGGCCTCCTTCAGTTTCCAATGGGAATTATAGCCAACTGCAACTCCAAGCTAAAGAATATCCTGGAACACCTTACTCCCCAAAGGTAAGTGGGAATAGCTGTCACCACTCAGTCATGACACAAATGTGGGTTTTTAACTGCTGAACATTTTTCCTGTCACCCAGGGGGATGGACTTTAAAAGGCATAGAAGAGGTAGGCCTTAGTGGTACATGCCTTTATCCCAGCATTGAGAGGCAGAGGCCAGCCTGGTCTGCATAGAGAGTTCCAGGAAAGCTGGGGCTACAGAGAGACCCTGTCTCAAAAAGACCAAAAAAAGTGGGGGAGGGGGTCATCAAGGACTTTAATCATATTGTTCATATTTAACTCATTTATACTTCCGTTTTGTAAGAAAAACTAGGGTTCAGAAGGTTAAATATCTTGTGTAAAATGTTACTCAGCAATAATGGTGTAATAAAGATTGAGGGGCTGGAGAGATGGCTCAGCGGTTAAGAGCACTGACTACTCTTGCAGAGGACCCGGGTTTGATTCCCAGCACCCACATGGCAACTACAAACCTTCCTTAACTCCAGTTCCAGGGGAGTCCAAAGCCCTCTTCTGATCTCAGCAGGATTGCATGACATGGGTGCACTCACATGCAGGCAATACACTCATACACATAAAATTTAAAAAAAATAAATAAAGATTGAATTGCAAGTTGTGTGTTTTTTTTTTTTTTTTTTTTTTCTCTTTTTGAGATAGGGTCTCCCTGTAGCCCCAGCTGTCCTAGAACTCAGTATGTAGACCAGGCTGGCCTTGAACTCACAGAGATCCGCCTGCCTCTGCCTCCTGAGTGCTGGGATTAAAGGCATGCATCACCACACCTGGCCAACAAGTTGTTTTTTAAACTCTTTATTTCATATTACATCAGAATCTCTTCCCTCTGTATGGTTAAAACTGATAGGAGTGTCCATATCCACTTAAACAAGCCCTGGGGGCTTCCTGTTACTATCATATGGAGCATAAAGTTACACTGTGCCAAGATTTTCTTTTTCTTTCAAAAGTTTTTTTTATTTTTGTGTGCTGGTGTACGTGCGTGCGCACACATGCGGGCCATGGTGCCTGTGTGGAGGTCAGAGTACAACTTGGTGAAGTTGGTTCTCTTTTTCAATCTTTGTGTACGTCCTGGGAATTGAACTAAGGTCATCAGGCTTGTGTGGGAAGTGCCCTTTACCTGCTGTTTTACTGGTCCCAGACTTACTGTTTTCTTCCCCCTCTCCCCTCCCCTCCTCTCTTGTCCCCTCCCTCCCCTTCTCTCCCCTTTTTCTATTTTTTTCTTTTTCACTTTTTTAAAACATAATTTATTGAGAATTTCATACATGAATATAAGGTGTTTTGATCAAATCTATGCCCACTCCCTCCCTCCAACTCCTCCCATATCTCCCCATCACTCTTTTCTGATAACTTCATGTTCTCTTTTTTCTTCTTTTATTATTTTTTTTATGGAGCTTTTTGCTCCTCTAACATTCTCCTCTCTGAAGAGGTAACACTAAAATCTTTTGAGGATTAGATACAAGCTCCCAAATACTTTCGACATTTTTGGCCTTTGGAACAGAATATGTTGCTAAGGGGCCCAAGGACATTATTACTTTCAGCCAAGAAACTGGCTACTTTTCTTTGGGGTCTTTGTACCCTAACTGCCTAGCCAATTCCTACCTCCTATTCTTATCACACTATCCTCTGAAGAGGTTACCCAGTTTGTGGATAGGGAATCAGGATGCAGACCCTTCTGGCTTCTTCTGTGCTGAACAGGGATGCAGGGTGAGGCAATTGGGGTACTCTTGCAGTGGGTCTATCTAAAAGACTCCCAAATTGCGTAACAGTTACCTATTGGGGGGAAAGAAAGTCCTTGAATCGTGACTAGGAGATGTGAAGGAGAAGTAAAGACGAGTAGTTAGCATTACAAGTTCTAGACAGGGAACTAGAAAAAAGTCAGAACAGGGAATTTTCAAATGTTCATATGAGAGTCCATTGGAATTTCTTGACAAGGGCTTCCAAAAGTATCCCTCTATTGGGTTCCTCCTCATTTTTCTTTTGTCTGCCAAGGCTGGACTCGAGAGTGATGGATTCAGGATTTGCTTTCAGGCATTTTGATAGCTGTTGGAGTGGTTAGAATCAGTGTCAGTTCCCTCTCTCAGGCTTCTAGATAGGGGGAGAAAACAAATTTAGTCATCATTTTAGAATAGCCAGTTGTCTCCTTTAGCTACAGTGGGCACTACAGTATTGCAGACCAAGATTTAAAGTCTTATATCTGAGCAGCACTTTCTGATTAGGAACAAAATCATCAATGAGAAATAATTGTCTAAATAACATTTTATATGGACTTAAGCCTAATGTCTGGGACGTGTAATCCCTTGAACTCTTAAATATACCGATCACTTTACTTTTTGTTTATACTTTCCTTTTGGGTGTTTAAGACCATACAGTTGGCTCAAATAAATCAATTTATTTTTACACTTAAGGTCATTTGAGGATCTGTTCCTTAGGGGTCACATGGGCTTGGGAGGAGCCCCTGGCTCCTTTCTTTTACCAGTTCCATCTATGTGAAGATAAGTCAAAGGTCCTGCTTGACCATGTCTTGCTTCACTTGGAAGCATGGAGGAAATGTTTCCTCTTAGTTGACCCTCCTCTTTGTAGACTGGACATTGGTTCAAGTCCATCTCATGGGGTCTCCATATCCTCCCTGAACAAGAGGACAGGTGACTCACCACAGTTACAGGACATTTTGAGAGATGTTCCATAGTCCCCTGTTCCTTTGATCAGAATGAAGTCACCTTTCTTATCTCTTCTGATTAGTTTTACTTTGAAGTATTTTGTCAGGTATTAGAATTGCAACCCCGGCTTGTTTTTTAGTGCCATTTGCTTGGAATATTCTTTTCCATCCTTTTACCTTAAAGTAGTGCCTGTCCTTGAAGGTGATACGGGTTTCTTGCAGACAACAAAGAGATGGATTTTGTTTCTTAATCCATTCACTTAGCCTGTGTCTTTTGACTGGGGAGTTCAGGCCATTGATATTTAAGGTTGTTATTGAAAGGTGTGTATTGGTTGCAGTCACTTTGATTGCTGTTTCTCTGTCTAATTTTGTGTCTCCTCAATTATACCTTTATTTTCTTTCATTGCCCCTGGAGTATAGTTGTTTCTCTCTCCTCTCTCTGTATGGCTTCAAGTATTCTTTGAAGGGCTGGTTTTGTGGACATGTATTCTTTCAGGATATTCGTGTCATGGAAGATTTTTCTTTCCCCCTCAACTATAATAGGTGTTTTTGCTGGGTAAAGTATTGTTGTGTAGAACTGGAAATACCTTGGTCCAGGCTCTTCTGGCTTTCATAGTTTGCATTGAAAAGTCAGCTGTCATTCTGATGGGCTTTCCTTTGTATGTGACTTGTTTTTCCTTTGTTGGTTTCAGTATTCTCTCTTTGTTCTGTACATTTAGTGTTTTTACTATGATATGTCGTGGGGAGTTTCTTGTCTAATCCTATCTATTTGGTGTTCTATGTGCTTCCTGTAATTGTATGGGGATGTCTTTTCTTAACTTTGGGAAATTCTCTTCTACACTCCTGTTTAAGATCTGGTCAACACCATTAACCTGAAATTCTTTTCCTTCCTCTATTCCTATGATCCATAGATTTGGTCTTTTCATGATATCCCACATCTCTTGCATATTCCATTCCTGTGTGTTTTTAAATTTTCCATAATCTTTGCTTGAGTGGTCCAATTCTTAAACTTTATCCTCCAGTGTTGATATTCTCTTTTCCATTTCATTCATTTTAGTGGTGAGGCTTTCCCCTGTTGTTTCAGGTTGGCTTATGCTTATTGAGTTTTGTACTTCCTTCTTCATTTCTGCCTGAGTTTTCTTCAATGTTTCTATCTCTTTTGTGAATTCATTCATAAGTTTATTCCTATCTTCTTTTAGCTCTTTGATTTGTTTGTTCTTGTGTTCTTTAAATTCTTTGAATTCCTTTATCATGTTTATGATTGTTCTTTTAAATTCATTGTCCTGGGTTATCTCTAGGGGGTTCTCCTTATTGAATTCTTCTACAGGATTGGTGGAGTGTCGGGGATCCTGCCCTGACACAGGAGCCGGGGAAAAGGAGATGAGCTGTCTGCCCATTACCTGCAGCCTCCCTGGGAGACAGTCAGACATGACAGGGAGCCAGTCAAGCAGGAACTCGTTTATTGCAGGTGTTACAGGGCTTATAAAGGCAAAAACCACAAGGAAAATCCCCTCCCCAACCAAGTGTCCAATCATGGTAAAGGTGAACTTGAGCATGCAGTCTCCTCTCCATAGCACAGCATAGCGTTCATGAGGTGATCACGTGCTGCCAAGATGCACAGAAATGACAGGAGCCAATTAGCGATTCTTCAAAACAAGTCTGGCCGTGTTCCGGCCGTTTCTTCTAGGCGCCATCCTGCCTCGCCCCTGGCCTCAGGCCCCCGCATCTCTCCCCCTAATGTGTTTTAAAAGTGAGGTTCCTTAAGGGTAGCTCTTGGGGATGGGGCTCAACGTCCCCATCCCCCTCTGCTGCTATGGCCTCCCTGTCTTAGGTTGCCTCTCCTCAGGTGCTGAAGTTGCCTGTCCTTGAGTAATCATGATTGCCCTCATGGCCCCTGTCTTGGGTTCATCAGTCTGCTTATCCATCATTGGGACCAGCCATGCCCTTTTGTGGTTAATATACGGGGGTCTATCCCATAAGGGGGCAAAACAACCTTGGTCCTCAGGCTAACTCAAGCATCCATGCCTGGATTTGTCTTGAGGAGGGGCCCGAGGGGGATTGGGTGATCAGGGCAAGTTGGACCAGGACTTTCTTGGTCCGTTTCTGTCTTTAGATAATCAAGCAGAGACACCTGAGAACAAAAGCTAGCACAAGCATTAGAAACATGCTCCCATAGGCGAGTAACCAAGTTGGGTCCAAGAATCCCTTGATATGCTCCCATACCTTACTAAAAAAGGAGTCCATCGATAGGACCGGGGCTCGGGTATAATTTAGAGCAATAATCTAATTGGTCAGCAGTATGGAAGGGGTGAGACAAAGTGGCCTAAAGCAAGG